TGTCTTCTTTTCTTTCCACTTCTTCTGCACCATGCTCAGGTGCTCTAGTACCTCAGCATGGTCTGACCTTACAGCTGGCCCTGCTTTGAGCAGGTGAGTGGACTTGATCACCTGAGGTCATTACCAGACTGAATTCTTCTATGATCCTGTGGTACTGATCTGCTTGTTTTCAAAGAAGCAACACATCGGAGGGTTGTTCTTTCGCTTGCATTCCTATGTGTCTGGAATTCTCTACTTGGTCCCAAGTAAGATATTTTCATAACTTTTCCTCTTCATATGTTATGTGAAAGAATTCTTTCTCTCCTTGTGAGTGACTGCATTTATGTTCTAAAAAAAATTCTGCTATAGGTAATTTAAAATAGCCAGAATCATATATTTTAGGTGTTGATTAGTTGTTGCAATATGAAAGTAACTTTATTGTACTTTGCTCAAAGTCATTGTAACACATAAATGACATTTTAATCCTTGTTTAGTCTCTTTTATAAGAGATCAAATGCATTTTTAATCTTGAGCAGTATTACCTGCAGAACCTATAAGCTTATTCTCTTCTGTATGCCATAGGTCTTTCTAGACTTCATGGTTAACAGAAATGTAAGCAGTTTAAACCTGTAATATTTAAAGGCATTTGTCATAAGGAACATATTTCATAGAAAGTTTATGAAAATACAATAATTGAATGCTTGAACTTAATTTTTAAGTGTCTTTAAGTGGTCACTGGAAGAGAACAGGAGGTACTGACTCTTCTAGACCTGTAATACTGAATTGTATAGTGGTGATAGTTCTCTGCTTATGCCCTGTACTGAACATGATTTAGTTAAATGTATAGGAGGCAGAATTAAATTGAATCTTGATGTATCTTTTACCTTACTGTCACTAAGCAAAACCTAAGCAAAATTAGATTTAACTGTGAGTACGTTCAATTAGAACGTTTATTCAGAAACCTAATCAAATGAACTTAGGTCAAACAACATGGATATGCTTAAAGCACTATCAGTATTACCCTTTGGAAGTGTATTGTTTATCAGCTCTCAAATGTATTTCTTTAAAAAGTAAGTATCTTTTTGGTGGAATTTCACAGACCACTTTCAGTGATTTTGTTTCATCAGTAGGTCTGAGGAAGAGCCCAGAAAATTAACTCAGTTGTAGAAAACACTTAAAAATACTTTTTCTGTATTCTTGTTCAAAACCCCTGTAGTAATTTGTGGAATTACACCCTACACTTTCCTTTCTTGAAGTGTGTAAAAAACACACACTGTGGATTTTTACCTGAAGAAATTTTTCAAAGGAGTAGCTAACAGTGTTTTCCAGTTTTAATAATAATTGTAATGATCTTTTTAGGAAAATTAAATATGTCTTTATTAAAACACAGTCAAATAGGGCTTTTCCTTAATTAATCAGAATATTTATATATAAAAAATATACTTTGCAGGCTTTTTTTAATGTGTAGCTAGTGAAACTGGAAATTACTATTTTTCCTTATGGATTAATTTTCTTTCAAGGCTTTATTCTAGAACCTTCGTCAGCTACCTCATGCTGCTGGCCTTTTTCTGCCTTGTCTTCTCCTGAGTCCTGCCTGTAAGATAAGCATTTTGTCTAACCCACATATGGTTATTTGATATTTCTGGAAGTTAAACCTTTGCTTTTAATTACAATGAAGGCTGTTCATATTTCTAGTCTGTAATAAAATCAGCTCAAAGACTTTAACTTCATTATCATGCTTGAGAGTTTTCATGATACATATACATGCTAGGCACTACATAGTTAATCTAAACAGTCTTAAAGAATTTATATTGTGAAACTATTTATAGTAATTAAAATTATTGTTCCATGGTGCTGAGAGTGTGAAGATATCATTTAGTACTTCCAAGCTTTTTTTTTTTTTCCCTTTTTTTTGAGGACAAAAAGGGAAGCATATTTCAAAGTAAAGTTTCTGAGGGAGTAGAATATCTACATTCTAATATTTAACCCATTAATCTAGTAAGGCAAATCATTTTAGTTAGCTATTCAGGCAAATGGTACAACTTTATAATGACTGAGTTCACTTTTCCCCTTAAAAGGCCTTATCCTGCTGTTCTATACACATTGCCCTACCTCTTTGAATATGTGGCAAACCCACTCAGTATCTGTAGTACACAGTGTCAAACTAATGGTTCATGTTGACTTAGCTCTAATATTTTCCAGAACAAGTGTAATAAAACTGGTGATCTGTGGACTAATACTTTACTCTTCTGTGATTATCTTTGTAATGTAGTGCAACTTAACGTGTGGTCCTGGCCCTGCTGTAATAAATGTTAATAGTCTTATTGATGTCATTGATTAATTGATCTCCAACGGATCTCTTAGTCTAGTTTTACAAAGCCACTGCAGCCATCTAAAGACCATGCTTTGTAATAGACGTCAGATGGCAGTATTTCATAGCTTAAAATAACATCTCGTGTTATACAGACTGCATTGTTTGAAAAAAATTATTAGTCTCATATGGTATTGCTAGTGTTTTTTAATAAATAAGAAAAAAAAATAAACTAGTAGAGAAGTGATATGGGACGATAGATTAGTTTGGGTTGGAAAGGACCTTTAAATGTTACCTAGTCCAACACCCTTACAGTGAGCAGAGACATTTCCAATTAGATCTGGTTGCTCAGAGCCCCATCTAGCCTCACCTGAAATGTTTCCAGGCATAGGACATTTCCAACCTCTCTGGGCAACATGTTCCAGTATTTCACCACAACTTGTTCCAGTGTTTATCCACCCTCATGGTAAGCAATGTCTTCCTTAGATCTAGTCTAAATTTACCCTCTTTCAGTTTAAAACTGTTACCCCTCTTCCTGTCACTACCAGCCCTTGTAAGAAGCCTGTTCCTATCTTTCTTGTAAGACCACTTCAGGAACCAGAAGGCTGCAGTAAGGCTTCCCAGGAGCCCTCTGTTCTTCAGGCTGAAGAATGCCAAGTGTCTCAGCCTGTCTTCAAAGGAGAGGTGCTTCAGCCCTCATCATTTTTGTGGCCCTCCTCTGGACACACTCCAACAGCTTCATGTCCTTCCTGTGTTGGAGACTCAGTACTTTCAGTGGGGTCTCACCAGAGCAGAGGGGCAGAATCACCTCCCTTCACCTGTATCTTCTGTAGAATTTCAGAAAAATACACAAAACCATAATGTTCAGTGATTTCTGCATTCTGTGATTCTGTTCAATATTGAGTTAAATTTGTAAACACATTGTTATCAAATTTCACATATGACTCAGTGCTGTTAAACTTGTCTACATAATGGGCCTGACACCTGATAGCAATGTCATTCTTAATGTAAGCTGACCTTCCAGTTGTTCTCTCACTCTACTTCTGTCAGCATCACAATGTTCTCTTTATAATCCTCATAAGGAATTGTGGCTTCAGTGCTAAGAATAAAGATGATTATTCTCCATTGTGACCAAAGGCTGCTTTGCAGGATTTCTGATTTTCCATAAGACAGAAAACAGTATTTGCCATTCACAGCTGGTCATTTAATTGTAGCCAAACAGCTTTTACCCCCTTGAAAGCCTGGACACTGTGTGGGCTTCAAAAGGAGATTCTTATTCACAGAAGAGACAAAGTAAAAGAGGAAAAATATATAACACCCATTAAAATTATATAGCCATTGTTCTATTAAAGAATAAAAAGCATCTCTCACAAAATGGTGATAGTTTGTTCCTGTAGGATGAACAGGAAGTATAGTTCTAACTTAAAACTTTGTAGTTGTTGTTGTTGCTGTAAAAATGAATGTACTAAGCTTAAGAACATACTCGCTTACCACCAGTTATTACTGGCCTTTGCTATCAATGAATTCTAAAAAAACCCAACAAACCAACAAAAAAACCAAAGAACGTGTTTATAAAAATTTGGTCTTTCAGAGTAACTGAAGTGATTTATCTTAATTGAAAATAATTTTTGAAAAGTCAGGATTGATTGGCAAAGGTTTTGTTGGATTGGAGAACTGCACCAATATCTTGTTTGCATAATGCTATGAAAAAGTGAAATCTAAAATCAGTATGTTTTCACCACATAAATGCAAGTACTTCTGCATTTTTATATTTTGTAAGTTCTCTTTTAGTTTCTTTTGAAAGTTTATTTCCCCTTCAGCTCTGAATAGAAAAAAGGCACTTCTTTAGTCTATGTAGTAGTCATGATACAATGATATACTGAATTGAGAACATCTCATTGAACATATATTAGCAGCTGTCATAGTCTGATTTTGGTTTGTGTGTGGATCTTACGTATTTGGGTTGTTTTTCTGCAAAACGTAAGGTAGCAAGTACTGGCCTTTCCTAAATGCATTTGAAAACTGGTTGTGATAAACTGACTTGGGATTGTATGGGGGGGATGGGGTGTTAGGGAAAAGGAAGAACTTAAACCCTTTAACATTTATTTGTAGCTTAGGAGGTAGAAGTTTGTAATCTTGATTTGTAAATGGAAACTACAAAGATAAATACCACAGATCCTGGAAAAATAGAAGAGGTTATTCAGCAGTCCCCCTTCCTTTCAGCTTCCCTGAAGGTTCAGGAATAAGCAAATGAAAAGAATAATCAAACAAAAGGAGCATGCATCTGATATTTAAGCCCTCCTCCAGCATTTCTTATGTACATAACCAGAAGTTACTCAAGCAGCTGCAGCACAGTAGTTCCATCAGTTAAACAGGCAGCTTTACAGCTCTGACTAAGACTGTGCTCAGGCAGTTTCTTCCTCCCCTGTCCTATGATACCTAGGAAGTGATCTTTGGCAGCAGGGCTGTGAGAGGAGTGGTAATGTTTAATAGGTTTCTGTGGAGGAGCTAGCTTGCTTTTTTCCTTTGTAGATCATTATCTATAGAGAGACGCTGAGGGCAGGCGACACCATGTTGAGAACAGAGTAGGCTGAACTGAAGTTAGAGCTCGGCACCGTTCTTGGGAACTGATTTAAGAAGGAAACATTTTAAGCAGCTAAGCTAATATTCAATTTTATTAGACCTTAATAACAGAGTTGGGAAAACTCTCATGGCTCAGCAAACAAGTCCAGGCACTTTGTCTATTCCTGAAGTGGATAATACACATTGTCAAAATCCATGGTTAAATGAAGATCTTGTGAAGACCCTGAGGGAAAACCTGTTGCAGCATGAAAAGTCCAGGACATCTAGGAAATCTTCATCTGCTTCTCCCCGGCTGTCTCCAGTTATTTCACCCCGAAACTCTCCAAGGCTTTTGCGCAGGATGCTTTTAAATAGCAACATACCAAAACAACGGCGTTTCACTGTGGCACATACCTGGTAAGCACTGAGAGGGTTGTCACAAACATGTCAGATTACCTTCTTTTCACAACATATTTATCTTCTCGATATCAGTGCTTTTGTTTGTTGGTTTGGTCTCTGCATTAATCTCTCTGGTTGAAGGAGACAGTCCTAAATTGTAGTTCAGGTTAACTTCAGACTTGGGAGTTTATAATAGTTTTTATAAAGTAAAAAAAAAACCCTTACATTTTCTTGCACAAAAGCTACTGTATTTCCTCTGATTTCTTAGGCAGTAATTCCTTTCTTCCCCTCCCCCAGAAAGAAAAACATGAGTCTTAAGAAGGAAAAGTACTTATCTTGTTCTGTGCTGTTCAGGCCAGAGTGAGTAGGCAATTTTTTTCTTTAATGTATATTTAAAATACATTTTTTTAAAGTATTTATTTCTTGCAATTTATGACCACTCCGCTGCTAAGCAGAATAACCTACTTTTAAAATATTTTAACAGTGCTCAAATTAAGAAAGGCATGATAGAGATTTGTGGGAATAGATACTGCATATCAAACTTGTGATTTTTAGTAAAGCAGTTGCTAGAATAAACAGGAAAGACAGAAGGGGAGCCCCTTCTTAAATTACTCACTAGTACTACTTTTTTTGTAATTCAGTCATTTCTTAGACATGTGTTTGTGATCAAATATGTAAAAGAGAAGAATTTATTTCATCAGTCCTCTGTAAAACAGCAGCAAAATTTAATTATCTAAGTTATTCTTTTTCAAAATATTACATATGAGATTATGGTAACTCAATAATACAGTTCTCTTTGCTATGGTAGTTGTGAGATCTTGATGCTGCCTTTTTTTTCTTACAAGATTTTTCCCTATTATTTTACCAAAAAAAGAGTATTACAAAGAAAGGAGGAAAATTAAATATGGTCCAAGAAAGTAAGTAATGAATTCTAGGCAGCAAATGGATGTGCTACTTGAGATTATGTTCACTTGTCTAAAACTAAATTTACATGACAGCTACATGACTGGTAGATGCATTGCACATTGTATACATGTGCCCCTAAATCTTTACTATGAATGTATTTGTAGATAAAATTCTCCTTTGATAAAATAAGTTTTTTACCCTTGAAGAGGATAATTAAAATAAGTATGCCTTTATGCTCAAAGGTTATTTGTTTGAAACTGTGTAGCTGGTGAGAAACTGCATGTCAGAGGAAACTGAATAGAATTAGGGTATTTTGTCTTCCTTTACCCGTTATACATAAATCCCAGTAACATTTAGGATGTCTAACTGCTGGTTTGCCGTTATAAAATTAGTTATAAATTAAATAATTTATAAAACAGTCTGTACATAAGAACATGTAAGATAAAAAAGCTAATTCCCACAGAGCTGTTTTACATTCTAAGAGAAGACTGTCATAGTATTCAAAAGAGGAATTTTGTTTAAACACACTTCCTTTAGTGAGCTTCAGCAAGTTTTGAGATTGGGTAGAATGCCTTTTTCAGAATGACATGGAGCATAGGAAATGCTTGGGTTTTCCCCAAATATGTGAAATACCAGTCCTGCAAAATACTGTTGTTGAACAGTTAATTGTTATTTCTAAATTATTTGTTAAGACTGGCTTGTCTTGGCAGCACTTTTCTTCAGCAAGTGGAGAAACAGGGAGTCAAGCAGAGAGTTACAACAGGTCACTTAAGAGCCTATAAACAATAGTGTTTCAGAAGTGAAGATGAAGCAGAAAAAAACATTGATTTTAAGTAATAGTGCATATGATCAGTCTTATATACCTAGTCTTAGATGTATGAAGGTGAGCAGAAGCACTACTGCGTGCTTATAAAATTTATTTGTTGCCAAATCCCATCAAGTCCAACTGATAAGTTTTAATTCAGTTACCTGTTTAGAAAACTGCCATGCTGTGTGATAGACATGTGGTTTCTATATGCTTTGGCTACATAGGGAGTATAGGCCTTTTAATTTTGTATCTATATAATCCTTTTTAGTGCTTTTGAAAGTGGAGCAGTTTTAAGCTTACCCCAATATATTGCACTATGGAGGAATGCTATGTACTATTCTTCTTTTAGTGCCTATAGCTTGTTCCACCAAAGTTATGTTCTTCTCTGTAAGTGCTCTAGTTTTCTTGTATTTCTAATTTAATGTTTTATAATCTTAAGAATAGTAAATGAACTTGTGTATACATCTTCCTTGTTTAATTCATTGTTCACACAGGCATTAAATTTTTTAATAACACAATGGTATTCAAACTATCAATAAGTTGGAAAGCCATTCCAGCTGCCAAATACCACTACTTTTATACATTTAGTATTTTCTTATGTTTTTCTTATGATGAGAAGTTTATGTATAGACATATCATAAAAACTGATGATATAGCACTAAAGATATTGCTGTGTGTTGCAGTGGTGCCAAATACAGCCACCACAGATCCAGTACACCAGAACAACTCTCTCATATTGTACCTTACTCTCTCATTTCCAGACTCCAAAATGGCATTCAGGTGCAGTCAAGAAGTGGGTGGCAGATTGATGCATTTTTCTGGCAACTTGGTTCTTCCCTTCTTATTTAAGGCCCATAGCTCTTGTCCTGTAATGGCCTGAGATGCAGAACTGTTGACACTGAAATGCATTTTCTTTATGTGACTGCTACCCTTTCACATGAATAATTATCATATTTAGTCATATGGCAGGAATATTTGATCTTGTAAGACTGCACAAATTATCTGGTTGTGATTAAAGCCTTAACTTTTATATGATGAGGTACGCAATCATAGGATGCAATGTTCACCTGCATGTCCTTTTACACACTGTGGCAATGATTTATTATATAAAAGGCATGATAACTATGTGTAGTTAATGTGATGTAGTATGTAAGCCTTTAAGATGCTTTTTGGTTCTTTCTAGAAAACCACATCTTTCTTAATTTGTCATGAAAATTGTGCAAAAAATGGGACTATTTAGAAAGCAGAGCCATTTAAATATTTTCTTTCTGTATCAGTTGTGTTCAGGAAGGCATGATTATTAGGTTAATTTTTAAAATGCGTTTTAATAGAAGATTTCTATGTGCTGTGTTCAGAAATGAGGTTTTATAACTTTATTTTGCTTTCTTGAGTATAATGGAAAGTTTGCCAGTATTTCTCTCAGCTCAGAGTTCATCACTAGCCATTAACCTTAGACATTTTTGATCAGTCCTTCTCTCCTTCCTTTTCTTTATCCTTCCCCAGCTCAAGCTCTGCTTTTAGGATTTTAGAGAGGAAATAATACAGCATTAAGGGTAAGCTGAAACAGAATTTTTTTAAGTCATAAAGTCTTTATGTTTGTTGGAGAAATTTCTGAGTTACTCAGAGCTTCAGTGAGTGTTAACAGCTAGCCTTGCCTATAACTGTGAAATTGAAACTACATCAGTAACCCTGAAATCTTATCCTGGATCACTCAGTCTACAGACAATGTCAGTCTGTAGCAAACAGCCATAGCAACTAGAAAGAATCAAGTGTTTCAAAGTTTCATGGCCAGGAATTCAAATATGCTGTAGCCAAAATCAATGCAAGTTCCTCAGAAATCTGCTTTAGATTGTCTTATTGTAAAAGGAATCATAAATCTTTAAGATATGGTCAATATAATGATGCCACAGCATATGTTACAACTGGACACAGACAAGGTAGATGGTGTTCCGGTATGTGCTTAATAAATACAATCTCTGGATTGTTTTCTTTGCCTCTTCACATGCCTTTTCTAGACTGCCTACTACCCCAGTGCAGTTTGGCAGGGAAGATCATTGGGTTGGCATCATCCATGCTCAGATTTGTGAGAAGGCCATGAGTTACAGGGAAGGAGAATTTTGATTTCTCAGCTGTGTGAACAGCCAGCATGTCTGAGACATGTCCAAAGGTCAGCAGAAGGATAGTTAGGTTCTTCAAATCAAATATCTTTAGTAACTTCTCTTGGAAGTCAGATGATCTCCATTTTGCATGAAAAATTGCTTTCTGTAGGAAGGGGAGGAGAAAAAAGTAGCAAAAATATTTGGAGCAGGAAAGTAAGGTCAATGCAACATAGCAGTTAAATTGTGTCTATTTAATAGGAAGTATGAAGAGATGGCATTTTTGTGCTTGATTTCTTTGACCTTTATTATTTGCTGCTTTAATAGTTCTCAGTGAACACAGGATGTTCGAATAGTAGTTTTTTCTTCTGTTTATGTAACTTTAGACAGAATATTTGCTGCCTTTGTGATTTGTTTGTCTGTGTTCAGATACAGCACGTAGTGATATATGACCTGCTTTCATTATATAAATTGGGTTTTTTTACAGTCTTCCTCCTTGATATCTGCCCCATCTCAAGCTCTTCTGGTGTTCATTTAATACTTTCTGATGTTCAGTGATTTTATGTTTTGCTCTTTAGACTTTTTTTAAAAACATGCACCCCCAAATCTAAAGATGTAATAGTATTACTGACTGTAAGAATGTATGTGCTCAGTTATATAGAGTACTTTTATCTGAATTTAGCCTTTATCCTCACCCATAGTAAATAGTTTTACATTGACTTTGGCATTCAGATATGAAAACGAAAGGTGTCTTAGAAATAGTTTAGATAGATATGAGGATGTGCCATTTTAAGTTTCAGGAATGCAACTGACATAAGGGTACCGATAAATTCAGGTCTTTGCTTATTTTCCTTGCACAATATCTTTTCATGCACTTGTAGCACTAGTTGCAAAAACCAACAGAACTTCAAGTGTTAGTAGTAAGAGAAGAGCAACTTATTTAACATTATGTGGTTCAGTGTATTCATATTGAAACTACTAACTATAATGATGCAATATCAAACTGAAAGTGTAGACTTTTTTCTCACTGCAAGTTTCTTCCCATTTTCCAAATACTTTTTATTGTTGGGTTTTTTTAAATGCTTGTCTATGTTTTCCTCTCATTTACTACTCAGTGTTTTTCAGAGAACTAAAGTAATTGCAATTTGGTGCATGAAAAGCATTTCAAAAGGAAGATCCATCAAAGCAGAGCAGGATGGTAACTATGC